TTCTGTTGTAGCAGGTATTGAGAAGGGGCATAATCTTGATGATCCTGATGTGGCAGACCTTTGATGGGTGTCCTTGGATTGTATGTTTCTGGATTAGCAGGTCTGATGAAGATGCACTGAGAAACAGCTGGAGAATGGGTGTCCATCAGGGATAGCAGGCTGCTCAGGGTGCTAGGGGTGTCCCAGAGGACTCAGCAGGCAGGGAAGATGGCTGCAGGATGGGAATCTAACCTGTATGGTACTGGACCAGTAGGTCTTGTTCTTTTTTTTTATTTTATATTTTCCCAATCTGCTTTTATACCATTTTAATTACATGCAGGTCAGTTCTAGGTTGAGGAACTAGCAATACAATAGATGCACATAGTCAAGGAACAAGCAAGACAATAAACACAAATAGTCAAAGAACAAGCAAGGTAATAAACAAAGTTCCATGATTATTTCCATGATCACTATTTCTGACCAAAATATCTGAGCCTACTTCCCTGACCTAGCCCAAAGTCATTTTCATGTCTGAAGCCTACTTCTTTGTTCTAGCCTAAGATTTAGATTCCTACCTGAAATTATTTCTTTGTTTTAGCCTAATGTCAGATTCCTACCTGAAATTACTTCTTTGTTCTAGTCTAAGATTTAGATTCCTGTCTGAAGCCCATTTCTTTTTGAGTTTTTTTGTTTTCTAGGTTTTAGGGGTTTTCTTGTCTTGTTTTTTGAGAAAGATCTTAAATTAGGTTGGGTAGGAGTAGGAGAGGATATGGAATGACTTGGAAGAGAGGAAGAACATGATCAAAACATATTTAAATGTCAAAGTTTTTTAAAATAAAGATAAAATAAAAATTATTCCCTTAAAAGATTATGAATTTATTTTGTGTTTATTTGAATTTTTCCATCATTTTTGATTATGTTAATTTGGGTAATTTCTGTTTTTTGATTAGTAGGGCCAAGGGGATACGACTTGTTTATCTTCTCAAAGAATCAGCTCCTAGATTACTTAAGTTTCTACTGGATTTGAGTTTGTTTTGTTTTCATATTTTTCCCCAAGTAGTGCCCTTTTTGATTTTCTCTCTCTCTCTCTCTCTCTCTCTCTCTCTCTCTCTCTCTCTCTCTCTCTCTCTCATCTATCTATCATCTATCTATCTATCTATCTATCTATCTATCATCTATCTATCTATCTATCTATCTATCTATCTATCTATCTATCTAATATCCTGATCCTACCCACTTCCTCCCAGATCCCAGAATTTAAGAATTGAAGGTTGTAAGTTTCCCTTACAGGAGTGCTTTTAACATGTCTTACAGGTTTCTGTTGTTTCATCTTCATCTCATTTCAGAAATTAAAAAAAAGATTCTTGATTTTTTTCTTTGACCCAGTCATCATTCAGTAGTAAATTGTTTAACCTCTATGAGTTTGTGTACTTACTAGAGATTTGTTTGCTTTCAATTTTAACTTTTATTCCAATATTGTCAGATAGGAAACAGAATAATTTCAACTTATTTTTGAATTTGTGTTCTAGGATGTTTTCTATAATAGAGAAGTTTCCATAGGTTACTGAATAGGATGTATATTGTTTCATGTTTGGGAGGTATATTTTGTAGAGATGTATGAAGTCCATTTGATGTAAAATGCCACTTATTTCTGACAATTTTCTGTTTTTGTCCAGGTACCCTGTCCATTGGAGGTGAGATATTGTAATGTCTTCATTAATTGTGCCTTTGATTAGAATGAAGAGTCTTTATCTTTCTAATCAATTTTAATTTCTAAAAGTTTAAATAACTATTTTGTAGATATTAGAATTTCAATGCTTGCTTCCTTCCTGGCCCCACTTGGAACACCATTTTCCATCCTTTTATTTTTATTTTTTAAAGTATATATTTATTTTATGTATATGAGTACACTATAGCTGTCTTCAGACACACCAGAAGAGGGTGTCAGATCCCATTACAGATGGTTATGAGCCACCATGTGATTGCTGGGAATTGAACTTAGGACCTCTGGAAGAGTAGTCAGTGCTCTTAACCACTGAGCCACCTCTCTAGCCCCCACTCTTTTATTTTAAGGTGGTATCTAATAATTATTTAACTGTTTAGAAAAAATTATTTTGAATACATGAAAGGAAAACTTAGAGATAATTCCCAATAAAACATAGAATATCTTTTCCAAGGTGATGGGGAATCCCAACAGGTGTCCCTAAGTAGTATCCAGTGCTGAATACAATCATGGGTCTCATCCTCTGCACTCTGAGTTCATGGAGCTGCAGAAAACACGCACTGATGCTAGAGACACATCACATTCCTGAGGTAGATCAAATGGACACACCCCAGAGGCTGGGAGTGTCATAATGACACTGACACTCTGGGACTGGCATATTTAAAAACACTCCCAGCACTCTCTGAAGGAAGCTGAGTTTACTCCCTTTCACCCATCCAATATTGAGTTTTAACATGACCAGGTAGGAGGGAGCCAGACAACAGCCACCTGGGACAGAAGTACCAAAATGGTTCTGTCAGCTGGAGAGATCTAGTCTTTGTCATTGACCTGGAATTATTCTGCTTCATTTATGTTTATAATTAGAAGATTTGGTTCTTTCATTGTGTCCCCCAGTCCCTGCTTGTTCCTTTCCTATACTTTAAAAACAAAACAAACAAACCACCATATTCTTTCCTTGTGTGGTTTAATTCCTCTGTCTTTGAGTCCTGATAGTCAGTGTAGCCATTTACTTTTGAGGGTTTGAGTTTTCTAGTTGGGTTATTGACTTTTTAATTCTATCTTCATTAGAGCTTGAGATATCTTCAATATTTCTATCTCTTCTTTGAATTCTGACTCCAAATCTTGTCATTTCCCCAATATATTTGTATATATTATGTATGAGTATATTTGTAGCTTCTTGGCCATCACTCAGGTATCTACTGTTATATTTTTGAAGTTTAATGAGGGATTACCTTGTTTCTTCTTTAAATTTATTGAATTCTTTGATACATTTTAATTCTATGTCCTGGGTTCATCTAGGTAATTTGGGACTAGTGTGTTTGAACATAGACATCCTCTTTTGGCCATTCATGTTTTTTTGTTTGTTTTTGTGATGAGACTTGAGTATGTAGACTTTTTCCTTTGATTATAGGTCTGATGTGAAATTCTGGTCTGTGCAGGCCTGTGTGACTAGAACTAGGGTAAGATAAGCTGCTACATGAGTTGTTTGGACCTAGGCCAGGCAAACCAGTGTGTGAGTGTTAGTCTGGAGCTACAACTATAGGTAGGGGGGAGCAGATGAGAGCAGATGGAGGGAATCACCAGGTAGAGTCAGAGCAATGGGTCCTGAGGCCCGTGAGTGCAGAGATGGCATCATAACAGTGGGGTGGATGGGAGAGGGAAGAAGTGATTTGCCATTCAAAGACAGCACAAAACAAAATTGGTTCAAGCATTAAAAGTCTGGGGCTAGGCCCCTGCTAAATTGTGACTTTTTGTTGCAGACTATTTTTGGATGATTTTAGAGGAAATGGCCTAAATTCCAAGTATAATCCTAATATTTCATTCCAGAAAGATGGCCAGAAACTCAGGGTTCCTTTCCCATGACATGAGCATCATTTGTCTGTTTGTGCTTATTTGAAAGAACTAAATATTAATGAACTGACATAACTCATGATATTCCCTTGTAATTGCTATAGTGAACACCTCTGGCTTTGATTCAGGACTCCCATGACAGCAGACTGAAAAGCTAACTTTAAAATGTTGTGTTTGTGTATGTGTCTGTGTGAGCGTATATGTATGTAGTTTCTGCTTATTCTTTTGAGGCATAGCCTTTCTCTGAACTTGGGGCTTACATTTTCTTAGCAAGGCCAAAAGTCAGCAAGCCCCAATGATGTTATTGTCTCTACTCCCCTTGGATATAGGGCTACAGGTATTTATGTGATACCCAACTTTGTTATGTATGTTTTGGGATTGTAACTCTGTCCCTCATGATTGCACAGCAAGTGGTCTTAACTATTAGGCCATTACTTTAGCTTCTAACTTTTATTATTATTACTTTTTAGCTTCATACCAGTGTCTATTGCATCATTTTTCCCAAGTAAGGGAGATCAGGAAAATGTGGTTTTAATATACACACACACACTCACACACACACACACACACACACACACACACACACACACACACA